TCCACGCGGGCGAAGTCGCGAGCAACAGCTAGTTTACAATAAAATGTAAATACAAGTGTCATAGTCCAGTTATAGGCATATTGTAGGTAACAAATTAAATGTTAATGCAACTTAACAGAAGCTTATGGTTGATCAAAAAATAATTGCAATGCAAAGGGCACCCTCGTCAATGTCTTGAGGCTTACACTATATTTGATTTCATAGTCCGATCTTCGCTTATCACAATTCCAAACTAAGTAATATGTACTATCCAATTTTAATAATTTATCTTTAAGATTGATTACGCTGACATATTTTGAGAATAATTTACTATCGATTTTAAATATAAATGCTGTTATATAAAAACAGAATTTATAACCTCTTTATTTTGGAACGTCTGTTTAAATTCCAAAATACACTAAAGAAATGTTTAAGATCGAATTAAACAGTTCTATCTACAATAGATATTGTTGTAATATCGTCAATATTAAACGTAATTTCAATGACAACGTAACACAGAACACCGAAGTAACAGACACGACTTTCAATTCTCTTGATGTCTTCTTTGTTCTATTGTTTTCGAAAAATCGTAACAGCTTGCCAAAAAAATGTCTCTTTCAATAGCCCAGTATTATTTGTTTTAAATGTTTTTGTGATCCATTGAATTGTTTCTCATTGTTTTAGGGCCAAAATAGGGAGATAATTTTTAAATAGCAGTAAGGTTTTGTAATCGTAAACTCTTCGCTTTTTGAATCGAAAGTTGAAATATAAGAAATATCTTTCTAAATTTTAATACTTCATCTATCAAACATGAAGATTAGTTTAGACATTTTTTAGAGAAAATAATGTGGAAACATCAAATAAAGTCTAGTCTATATAAAAATAAAAGTCGTAAGAGAAATTTCTCTCAAGTTAATATTTATCATTTGTATCGAAGTGGAGACATTAAACACCCTCCACGAATATCAAAGCGCGCGGATCATTCCCTTGCTAATTAATATTTTATTCAAGATGTTTTCCTTATTTCCTCTCCTTTAAAGAAGTATTTGTTTGCAAAGATACTGTTAATTTCGCTTATTTTTAATCATTTATAGTCTATACTGATCTATTTGTAATATCAAAAGAAGAATTCCAGATTTCCAGAAGATATTTGCGTTTCTGATAACGAAAACCGCATTTAAAATTGTTTGTGTGTCTGTCTGTCCACGATTGTTTCGGGTAATCTTCGAAACGGCTAGACCGATTTCGACTGGTCTTTCGCTGAAGGGTAGCTGACATAGACGGGCATATTATAGGGAAGTCGCGGGCAACACCTAGCTTGGTATAAAAGACTTTATAAAAAAAAACCATACAAGTATGAATACAGTAATAAGACCCCAAGTTATTCCAATTTACGATTATTACCTAAGATCGTATCCGTAATTTTAAACTTTAAATAAGCTATATAACTCTAAAAACTATGCAAGTTATTAAACTTTACTTGTATCAAATTCTTCAAGTAGATATTTTACAAGTAGTGGCGATGTAATTTATAGCAAGGGTCCTTCGTCTTTGGCGCAATTTAAAAACTTCAGAGGGTAAACATAAATAGTGCATTAAAACATATGAAAACTCTTCTATTTATTTTGCGTTCGATTCATAACGAATATTCAAAATTTGTTAGTTTTCGAAATTCTATTACAATTTGTATAACAAATTAAGTTCATAGTTCGCTAAATTATTACAATTAAACCACAGGCTGAGGAATGTAAATTGATGATGTCAGGCTGTTTCTGGGAGGCCGGAAATCCATTCATTATAGAAAGGTTCTGTTTGTAAGAGAATAAGAATATACATATGTATATTATTTAGACACTAGCTTTCGCCCGCGACTCTCTCCGTAAGGAATTAAAAAAAAAATAAGTAGCCTATGTGTTCTTCCAGACTATCCTCTACATCTATGCCAAATTTCATCAAGATCCGTGCAGCAGTTTAGGCGGCAAACTCTTACAAACATCGATCGAAACTTTCGCATTTATATTAGTAAGGTAAGATGCTGAAACTCATAGCTATTTTATTACCTACTAGCTGTTTCCAAACAGCTTCATCCTCGGGTAATTAAAAATTTTATTTTGTCGTTTACATTTGTCAATTTATCAATTGCAAATGTCAAAATAACATGACATGATGTCAATCCATAGCAATCTTGCTTCCTTGATGTTGGCAGCAACTTATGGTGTCTTTTCCACATTACGGTTTTTATCCAAAATATTCACCCCATAAGTTTAATAGCGTGAAAGTATATAGCCTAAAGCGTGACGTAAGTGTAAGTGTAGGTATTTTTATTAAAAGAAGAATTATTCAAAAATATGCTGTAATTGCTGACATCTTAGGCAACAAAGAAGTGTGTGTTTACGCTTTATTATAATAGTATAGATTTTAAAACTTCATGTACTGTAAAAATTAACAGACAAATAAATAATACAATACAATTTGCTTTTGAGATTAACACATTCGAGTAAGAAAGGGCGAATGTAAGGCTCGTGTAAGTCAATATCACGCACCTGCTTGCTGACATTAAACGGATCGTGTATTTGTACGGGTCAGTAATTATCTGATTTTCTTGAGTATTTGCTGTTCTAAAAACTTTGTTACAGATGTTATGTTGAAACAAATGTTACTGGAATTAAAATACGTAATAAAAGAAAAGGTTTTGATAGTAAAACCAATAGAACAAATTTTCATTTCTTTGTTTTTAAATTAGATTTACAGACAGATAGTCGTGTAAGTTTTGTGCCAGTATTTTCTTATTTGTAAACGGTTATTTTAAAACAAGGTTATTTCCTCGTTTTTTATTCTTACATTTTTTAATATGAAGACAAAGTATCATACTTCATACCAATTATATCTTTTGAATACATTCATAATTTTTAGTTTCACCAATTTCCCTTCATACAGCAAAATGTATTAATAAAAAGAAATCAGCACAACACGGATTATTCCCGTCATCCAGCTCTGTCCCCATGTGAGAATAAAAAGTTTCATCCCTCGCACCTTTTAGTCCCACTATCACCAATAAGGTGACAGATGAAACCGTTATGAAATAAGTTCCAACCGTCACCTAGTCGCAAAAGGTGGGACGGATGAAACTTTGTATTCTCGTTTATTTTCATGTGGGGACAGAGCAGGGTGACGGTTGGGAATAATCCCACATTAGATCATCGACATACATAGGGACGGACCCTATGACATCTGTCAATGTCATTCGACAAATTTATGCATAAGCTCGCCATTTTGGCGGGATCAGTAGGTTTGAGTATTGTATTGAAATGGCTTTTTGTTAGTTTGTAGCATAAACGGCTGAACGGATCTGGATGAAATTTGGCATAGATCTCGAGCATAGTCCGGAAGAACACATAGATTAATTACTTTTATTTTTTTAACTCCACGCGGGCGAAGTTGCGGGCGAAAGCTACTCAGAAAGTAATTCTCAAAAACTTTTTTTAAAATAAAACTGCTTTCTTTCATTCGTAATATTTTATTAAAATCGTTTAGTCCGCCTCTCATTAGTAGTTAATTGAGGGAAGTATTTTGTTCAGACCAGAATATTTTATCTATGTTTACACGTAGAGTTGTTATTTAATAAAATTAACAATTGAAAGTGCGTTTGAAGCTACAAATAAAATCAGATTACATTAAAATAACATGTTAACATTGCTAAGTGAAAATTATTGCTTACCATTTGACTCTTGTTGTCTAGATGTTAAAAAGTTACTAATTTAGGCTTTCTTTTTATCTTTTTTCTATTACAAAAATTAATTTATTTTGCTTGAAATTCAATAGTTCAAATTTCCAACAATTACAAAGGTCTAAAAAAAATTCAATGTTTACCTAACTAAATACAGAACTTAAGCCACACACACGCAGTTTTATCTACATATTAAAATTATCTGACAGATCGGACTATTCAGAAAAAATTAAGCGTGTGTGTGGCTTTATAAATAGAAAGGTATTGATTGTTTAATTACTGCTTTTAATTATACAATACAATTAGACAGCAAGAATCTAATGGTTTTTAGGTTATGCTCATCCATTTGCAATTTCGTCGTGCGACATAAACGCAAGTGTGTATTAGGCTTTATGATTATTAATGTTAGTAACTAATAACTCAGTATGCCAATAATTTTAATGTGAAAAAGTCATTTTTCCAATAAAGACAATTTTAATAACTGATTTTTATTTTCAACTTTCGTATTCATTTTTAATGATTTTAGGTTATAATCATACCAATCTGCTAAATCGATTACTAAAATTATTTACATATGTACAAAAACTATTGGTCCGTCTATGTTCAACATAAAATAAAGTGCACACGATAAGGTACAGTTCCACTGGTAGTTTTTTAAAATTTAATTTACATGAGTTTTTAAAACTAATAAACCTTTTTGTAAAAAAAATTTAAAACATTAGTGGAACTGAATCTTGTTAGAATATTACAAAATCAAAGAGAAACAATTAAAACATTAAAATTAAAAAATATTATTGCTTTATACATAGATATTATCAAGAAAAAACTTGGTGTTCTTCATTAAATTCATTTTGCTTTACATTTCATCCATAATAACTGTTTTGGTAAAATGATTCTCTCTATTTTCTAGAAGATACACAAAATAAATTATTTTCTCCTAATTCCATAAAGACTATCAAGATTGGTTAAAATGCTATATTGAACTTCAAAATATATATAACAGTGGCCGCTTTGACATCTTCGGACTGTAGGGCTCGGTCGGTTTAATACCACGACCACACAGAAAACAGGAGTGAAGTGGAAGCAATTCCGCGTTTCGTCTGATGAGTGTGGTGCCGGAGGCCTAATTTTAGCCCCTCTTCCTTTCCACCCTTTTCGTAAGAGGGAGGGATGGGAAGGAAAAGTGGATTTGACGGTGGAGTAGACGCATAAGGGGAAATGTCCTCTTTATGTGCGTCTCCGTCAATGAAGGGTAGGCAACGCTGCAATTGCAGATGTTTGTGCAGCGGTCGCTCTCAATTTCGGTGGATTCAGTCCGCTTGCTCGTTTGCCATCTTATATTATAAAAAATAATAGAAAATAGAGAGAATAACAATTACATGTTAAATGCTTAATTCTAAGTCGAGGTTACAAATTACAACGGTGTAGGAGGGATATGGAACTGTTGACACAACTATGTACATTCATTTAATTCAATCATTTACTTTAAATTTTATTTACATACATTTACACAATAACGTATATAGACGTCTGTAATCCAATTGTTTAGATATGATTATACAGTTTTCACACACTTCACTATAAACTTCATTTAAAGTATGTTACATTAATCTTTTGATTCATTTCACTAAAGTAATAAAAATGTAATGATTCATAGTTATTTTACTAAATTTCTTAAACGATTCACAGTTTTTCGCCTATCTGAGTAAAATATATAATGTAAGGTTCTGTAGTAATCCGTCTGAAGTTACACTATCTCGATCATATTGTTCGTATTTAACAAAAAAAAAATGTTTCACACAACACAGTTACACTAATTAAATGTGTATAAGGTCCGTCTGAAATTACACGATTTAGACCATATTGTTTGATTTCATTGTACTAATAAACTTTATGTGGGAAACATTACAACACAACACAGTTTTTTCACTATTAATTTTTTTTAATGTTTCACACACTGTTTTCCTTCTATCCGAGAACATCACTCATATATAGTACGTAATGTTCTTTAGAAAGTCCAGACCTCAGCCGGCTGAAGTTACACCATTTCAACCTAGTTTGATTCCACTACCCTAATACACTTTTAATGTTTCACACACTTTTAAGCCTTGTATCCGAGAACTTTATTTAAAAATGAGTCCACAAGGTTCTGTAATATTTCACACACAGTCATTAACCTTCTATCCGAGAACATCAGCTATATATAGTCCACAATGTTCCGCAGAAGGTCCGGCTGGAGTCAGACGATGTCGTCGTGCTGCAGGTCGCCGCAGCTGCCGGCGCGCTGCAGTCACGCGCGCTGACGTCACACGCGCAGCTCCTCCATCGTCACACTCGACTTAGCGTTCAACTGAGTGTTCTTCTTAGTGAGCGTGCTCGTGTTTATCATCTGTATATGATGTGAGAGTAAAGGTTGATTCTCCTGTTGGCTCGCCTTTGCTTTAGGAGGAGGAGGAGCTCGAGGCAATGTCATACTATTCGGTAAGTCGGCGAACTCGGGCGGTGGTAGTTGATGCGAGTGCGTGTGCCGACTGAGGATCGTTGGATCGTTTTTTAGACTGGTCTGATAGGTTAATGACCCTTCAAGGTCGCCGCAAATGTTGTTCGGCATCTGACCGTTTTCGACCCGTTTCTTTAAATGGGTTCCGTTGTCTTGGCCGTTCATACGCGTTTTATCTCTCTGATAGTACACGCCGGCGAATATTAATACGTTCAATATGAGTAAGGAACAGCCGATCGCGATTGTAACGCTCAGAGCTGTGGAGTATGCTGCAAATCCATCTTCGGGAGGAGAAGTTGCATCCGATTTGTGTAGATCAGGACTTTGTGTTGGGTTTCCAGCGATGTTAAAATTTAATGGTGAGGTAACATTCAGTACAGCGAGCACAGGTATTTTTGTAGCGACTCCCGTCTCTGATAGAATTAAATCAGTGATCTTCTTGAACGGTGGTGTGAATGTTTTTATGGTAGGCTGTAAGGAGGTATCCTCGTGCTCGAGCTGATGATGCGAGAGAGGGACATCTTCTCCCCCTGGACGATGTAAATCCGGCACCAGATTTAACCAAAAAGATAATCTGAGAACAAATATTATTGCTGTATCAATTTGTTTCCTGTATACTAACATTATAAAAAGAAAATATATGTATATTTTGTACTTTTTCATGTATTGAAATAACTCAAAAACTACTCGGCGGATTTTAAAAATTATTTCACGATTATAAAGATACGTTATCGCTGAGTAACATAGGCTATATTTTTAAATTTCACGTAGTGGACTTTACCAGCTATACTTTATATTCTTCTAACTATTGCTTGCAAATTCGCCCTGGGGAAATCTTTAAATATAGCCTATGTTATTCAGCGAGAACGTAGCTTTTTAATGGTGAAAAACCTTTTAAAAGCGGCATACTAGTCAGTAGTTTTCGAATTATTTCAATATATATATATACAAAAAATATATATTTTTTTGTATAATATCAATGTCGATATTTTCTAAAAGTGTTGTAGTTACCTGTGTGCTCTGTAATGGTTTTTTAATTTCGATTTTATATCAATGTTCAAATATTTCTTATGGACAGCTTCGTAAGCCGTCCATTCCATATTCTTCATTCTTACTCTCTCTTGCCGCCCCGCTCTGATTGGATCACTTTCTTGAGCCTCATTTGGGTTGCTAGAAACAAAACTCCACGTTAAAATGTAAAATATAGTCTGAAAATGAAGATATTTTTAAATAATGTTTACTAAAAATTAATTCCACACCTAATTCTGTAAGGCAACTCTGTAGAAACTCATACTAAGATAACAATAACTATAATGAACCTCAACTAAATTAAACGAAAGTTCTACTTTTATTATGCAATTTTATGTTTATTTTTGCAGTTTATCCCTCTCTCCCCCTCCCTCTATCTCTTTCTCTCTCTGCCTCTTTCTCCCTCTCTCTCACTCTCTCACCTTTTCTGTTGTTCATTCGCGTAATATTTTTGTATATTTCTATTCCTGAGGACATATTAATGGCTCTATGGTTATTTCTTACCATAGTCACCATCACCCCACAGTCCCCACATGAGGTTAAAAAGTTTCATCTGTCCCACCTTTTAGTCCCACTACCACCAATTAGGTGACAGATGGAACCGTTATGAAATAAAATAACGTCCAACCGTCCCTTCGTCGTAAAAGATGGGACAGAGCGGGGTGACGGTTGGGAATAATCCTCCTTGATAAATAAGTAAAGTTACCCAGTCTTTGCGAAGTTCCCCCAATACAGCATAACTGACTCGGAAAGCGCTACTTCAGCCTTGGTGTAGTTCCGCGTGAAGTGCGCCAGCCCGCCCACCAGCGGCGCGCCGAACATGTACGGCAACTCCTCGCCGTGGATGCAACCTTGACGCTAAAATAACATCTTTTTAGTACTCAGAAGCCTGGCTTTTTAGTTATTTACTAGATTTCACTCGTGACTATACGTGGAATTAACAAAAAAGTGAGTAGCTTATAAGTTCTTTCAGACGATTTACATCTATACCAAATTTCATCGAGATCCGTGCAGACGTTTAGGCTACATACTCTAAAAAATGGTTTTTTTAGAGTTTGTAGCCTAAACTGCTTAACGAATATTGACGAAATTTGGTATAAATGGAAATAGTCTGGAAGAACACATAGTATACTTTTTTTATTCCACATGGACGGAATCGCGGTCGAAAGCTAGTTATTCATAGTAAAAAAGTATGACTAGCTTTAAACAGTGACTACACGCTCTATAGAATTCAATTAAGAAAATAATGTTTTACGAGTCGTTACCAGTTTATTTTGTAAACCAGTTCTGTTGGTAAATTAGAGTCGGTTGCCTGACCAAGTAATTGGCTTACTATCTCGTTAGTGGAACATCCGTTTCCGTAAACGAGGTAACTCGAGTCTTTATTAATTGCAGTTTAACTAACAGACTTCAAACATCTTCTGAGCTTTTTTATTAAGACATAAAAGTTTATATCCGGTTGACAACTTCTGTGAATATGTGAGAAGTTAATAAAAATTCCTACGAGCTTTTGCAATCTAAAATTCCGTTTATAACTTTTCATCAAATTTGTGTGTAAAAGTATTAGTAGACTAGCTGTTCCCGCGCGACTTCATCCGCATGAAATTATGAAAATTTTATTTTATTACTTTATATTTGTCAAATTATCAATTACAAATGTCAAAATGACATGACATGATAACAACCTTGCTTCCTTGATGTTGGCAGCAAGTTATGTCTCTTCCACATTAGGGTTTTTATCCAAAATATATATCCCCTAAGTTTAGTGCCGTTAAAATATAGCCTAAAACGTGACGTAAGATTAGAGCTTTTTATTAAAAAAAGGATTATTCAAAAATATGCTGTAATTGCTGACATCTTAGACAACAAAGTAGTGTGTGTTTACGCTTTATTATATTAAGTATAGATTTTTATTAATTTACTCATATTTATTTTACAACACAAAATAAGCTCTATATTTGTTAGTATATGGTTTACAAGAGTCAAGTGGCGGGAACCCTCGTGTGATCGGAAATCCGTAACACAAGTTTCACCCAGAATTAAATTTCGCCTATTATAAAGAATAGAGAAATACCCGATTCCGAAGTCCCTGACAAGAAATATGGAAGAGGGCGGCATAGCACTGTCCAAAAAATTAAAAGCATAAATGAAAATCTAGAAAATGTTAAGCTTTTTTTAAAGAATACATCCAATTACGCAGATTCCGTGAAAGTACCAACACCCTCCTAAGAGGGTTAAAAGACTAGCCCGACTGCCCGATCACGGGACATTGAGTCACACGTAGCCGGCATTAGGTCATGTATAAATTAGATCTAGTGTGATGTAAATTTTTGCCAATTTAACTATTCAATTGTGTAATTTGTGTTACATGATTTAATTAAATAAATTAAAAAAAAATATTATCTTGTACTTAATATTTGTTGCCTTTCATACCTGTGGATAATCTCCGTATTTAGTCTGATAATCAAAGACGTATAGGTAGGAGTTGCGGCGCAGCGCCGAGTGCGTGTCGGCCGTCAGCACGGCCGGCGCCACCACCTGCGCGTCGCTCAGCGCCTCCAGCGTCTCGTCCCTAACACGTAACTTGATACATTAACAGAAACACTCAAAACTGACAGTTACACGGCGTTTTATACGGTTACAAATACATACACACACATACACAAATAAACAAATCACACATATACCCACACACACACACAAACACCCGCGCGTACACATTCATACATACACACACTAATAAAAATAAAAATCTCTTAAAAATATTAAACTATTAGACATAAGCAAAACATAATGTTTGTTATAAAAGAACGGGACATTCTGACAATTACTTTATTTACAAGAATGTCTCATCAACGGATACTTGTAAAAAATATGTAATTTAAAAAATAAAAATTTATTACTATTAACTGTACACTTATAAATATTAAGCTGTTCCCGTGCGGCTTCATCCGCAAAAAAAAAAAAAAACATTTGTCAAATTCTCAATTGCTGTCAAAGTTACCTCCATAACATTGTTTCTTTAATGTTGGCAGCTCGTACTTTATGGTCCCTTTCCCACGTTTATTAATAAGCACTCTTATTTGAGATTCTAGTTCTTTAAGTGACCCGGAATCAATGTTCTTGGGTGTATAAATCTTAATTTAGATATCTATACGAGTCGTTTTCTCTTACTTAAACACAATGCTGACCTTATATTAATAGGATGCTGTACAGGTTTCTCCCAATCGGTGTATTCATTGATAATTGTCGCTAGAATTTCAGACAGATGGTAACTGTAAGTATTCCTGACGAAGGATTTAAGTATCTTGGAGCGTCTGTCGGCCTCGATGCCGTACTGCACGTCGTCACCGCTAAACGCGAAGTATGCTTCCGCTTTTGTCACTCCCAGCATCAAGTCATACCTGCATACAAGTTATTATGTTAGCTTCGGCTTTTTTACCTAACCAATGTTTCTAATGTTACTTATAACTAGAGTTGTAACGGAGGCCGTTTTAACGGAAGCGGATG